ATTTTTACAACTAAAAAATGTGTTTTTAGTAAAATTATTAAAAAAAAAATTAAACAAAAAACTAAAAAAAAATAAAATAAAATAAAATTTGAGTTGCCTTATTCTAAAGGCAACTTATTTCATGTACTTCCATGGATTTCTTGTTCAGTTCTTTGCCATGGTCGTAATATTTTGAACTGAACATTTTTTTTAGGACTTTTAGTTATTTTAACTTGTTTTGGTAAATAAGTTGGCTAAACTTGATTTGACTTGAAAACCATGACACTTAGAAAAAACAAATTCGATTAAGTACCATTCACAGGTTTTATGATTACTTTTCTAAGCTCATACTTACTTATTGGTGACTGAAATTATAGTTTTCGTTGGCCCAAGTGTATTGTGCGGTTAGCTTCTATTGTCTAGTCCTCCTGCTTATCTGGAAATCTAGAACTTGCCTTGAATGTCGATTGAGGCAAAATTCTAGGTAGATCTTTGAGTTAAGAAATGAACGCAGGCCTTCTTTGTTGAGTCATAGCCTAAATTGACCTACCTTAATGATTTTTATCCCTAGTTAGCCCAGTTGAGCCTAAATAAATTATCTCTTATTTTATTGGTCGCCAAGCTTTAACCCTTAGCCTGTTTGTTATTATGACTTGTTCTTTGTTCACCCAATTCTCTTTTGGGCACTTTAAGAGTTGATCTGAATGTAAAAATTTAGGCGTGAGGTGTAATTATAAAAATAATTGGTCAAAGAGTAATTGTTTGAGGTTGTCGATCTTTTGAGATGTTGTCATGAGAAGTAAAAAAAATAGATGCTTCTGAATTTCAAAAAAAAAAAATAGCAACAAAGAAAAGTTGGTGACTCCATAAAAAAATATATATATTTTTTTTGAAAGGGATGAAAAAAAACAGAGGTTTATTGTTTAAATGAGATGAAAGGCAATTGTACTTGAGAGATAAAATAAATGTGTAGTGCCCATAGGGAATTTGAGTCACTATTATCTATATGTATCCTACCAATCCCTAAGCCTACTTTACAACCTTGTAAAAGTCTTACATGATCTTAACTCAGAGACTCCATATTAGTGGAGAACCACATGATAGTCAAGCTTATGATTATTTCCAGTAGCTTGAGGTACTTCTTTGTTGAGAGTGAGCGTATTTTTTATCTATGCCCTTCTTTGATCCTGTATCTATATATTATGTGATATATGGGCATCTCTCTTCATTCAGTGAGATACACTTGGGATTAGAAAATATTATGATTTCAATTCTCAATAGGTGAACATGAGTACAACTGAAAGTTGTTTGAACTCGTAGACTGGTCTTAGTCAATTCTTCTCTGTCAAAACCTCTCATGATTTCACTTAAAGTGTTTAGTTACTATGCTCATTTGTTTTTTTGCTCGAGGACGAGTAAAAGTTTATGTATGGGAGAATTTGATAGGTGCATTTTACCAGATATTAACAACATAATTTCTCTCATAAAAACATATAAATTATCATGTTTCCTCCATATTTTTAACTTTATTTTGCAGGAATAATTATAGAAAAATTGTTATGCGCAACATGAAAAAAAAAATATTCAAGAAAAATATAACAAAGAAGTGTAAGATCGAGCTATAATTCATTACTGCCATGACAATACACCAAGTCTCGATTTGCCATGATGAAATCGATGAAATCTAAATTTAGAATGACAGAATTCTCATCTCTGCAAATTCAAAATCTAGATTTGCAATGAAAATCTAGCACCAAATCGAGAATTTGAATTCTCATATTTGCAAATGCAAAATCTAGATTTTCCATGAAAATCTAGCACCAAATCGAGAAGTCATCATGAAATTTTCTTATACAAGAAGATGGTGTCCGATCAGAGGAGGGCATCACAGTAGAGAGAAAGCTTAGAGCTAGAAGTCTGAATCCAAATTCTTAATAAGCTTCTCTATTTTATTTCTTTCACTAGTATCGAGTTATCTTTTCTTTTAAATCACAATAGTGGTTTAGTTATTGTTTCTAAATAAATTCTAGTGTAGGAAATTACTCTGGTTCCTGCTTTTAATTAAATAGGGGGAATTATTCTTCTTGAATATTTCTTTCTATTTTATTATTTAATGGACAATAATATTTTTATTGTTAGTACTAATTCCAGTATGGAGTAATTTTTCTTGTGTTGGGAGAAAGACGGATCTTAATATTTCTATATAATAGTAGATATTATTCTTCAAATTTACATGCTTGAGCTAAAATTTATTTAACTTTTATCTGCTTTTACAGTTAGACGTTATTTAATTTAATAACATCTATCTATTTTGTACTACATATTAACTGTTTATTAATTCTGTAATCGAGAGAGACGGAAGAAATAATATAGTTAAGTGTAGTATTGATAAATGTTAATATTTATTCAGTAGCATCTATCTATTTTATGTTATAATTAATTTTACACTTATTTGTAATCGAGAGAGGCGAATAGTGTAATAATCAGTTATAATAAGTAGGGTAACCGAAAGGAACTTACTAACAAGAGCGTGTTTTAGTTCAATCATATATTTCTGGTTCTTCAATATTACTAGTTTGAAGATTAATTTGTATAACCGAGAGGAGTATAATTAATTATTCAACTTAAGTAATAATATATATTTGTAATCGTGAGAGGCATTTATACATTTTTGAGAAATAGAAATTGAAGAATAATAATTCTATTATATAATAGAAATATTAAGTGAAGTCAAGATCCCAACACCTTTTTATTATATTTGTGAAAAATAAAATATTTTCTATTGCTCTATTCATGCATTTTTAGTTAGTTAATTTACAACTCAACTCTTTCTAATTTTCTCAAATAGTAATTAAAATAAGAAACGTCTGTAGAACAGATAAACCAATCTCTGTGGGTTCGACATCTTTCTATACTATTATTTGACAGAGTACAAGTTAGAATTTTATATACGCTAGACACTCGTCATTGGTCGCCGGAGGGAGATCTGCCTCTTGGTAGTATTGATTTTTACACAACACCGACAGAAAGTGACTTTCACGTAGACAGGCCTTAGGTCACCGAAAAAATTACACAATGACTAAGTTCTTTCTTACCGGTTAACGCTGGAATGACGCACATCGATCTTTTCTCACTAATGCTCTGATACCATGTGAGAAAGTACGGGAGAAAAATATATTATTGATATTGGTTACTCAATATAATACAAGAGGTCCTATTTATAGCTATTGTCTACAAAGTGCATATTACTCCCATTCCAATGTGGAACTACACATAACTAACAACATATATTCTCGTCTAGCATGCTAGTTAGGTTCCTAGTTTTGCTTTAAGAGGTCGGACTAGAACATATTTTTATCAAATATTTGAAGAGCCTCTTATTAAAAATTATGGTTAAGTAGAACTGAACTCGAGACCTCTTCTAGCATAAGACTCCACAAAATTAATGCACTAAGACTATTACTCATTTAGAAATATGAAAATTAACATTATTTATCACTGGTTACAAAGAGTTTTGTATACGCCCCTGGTTGCCACTGCTTTATTTTTTATTTTCTTTCGCCGAGTATTTACTGGAAATAGCCTCTCTGCCCTCTCAGGGTAAGGGTAAGCTCTACGTATACACTACACTCCCCAGACATCACTCGTAGAAAACCACTAAATTTATTGTTGTTATTGTTATTGTTGAGCAATAATTTAATTATTAGAAATTGAACTCCTGGAACTATAGTATAAACTGTGAATTATGATATTTTGTCACGAACAATCTTTTTAGTCATTTTAGAGGCATATTTCAAAATTTGAGCAAAGAAACTTTAGAAAAAGCCAAAGATTGTCATGCCATTTCTTTTTCCCACTTTATCTCTTTTGATCTCGAGATAATAAAGTAATAATTGCTATAAGTAGGGGTGGTCATTCGGTACTTCGGTTCGGAATTTAAGAATTTTAGTTCGGTATTTCGGTATTCGATTTATCAATTGTGTATACCAAATACCGTACCAAAGTATTTTGGTAAGGTTCGGTATTTCTTATTTTGGTTCGGTACGGTTTCAGTTTAAACTAAATCTTCACTGTCTCCCCCACTCCATTAACTAATGTAATCCATGTTGTTTGAGATTCCACCAAAGATCAATCTTAAGTTCTCAGGTTGTGTACAAAGAAGAGACGAAAGGTAATACACTTTGAGTTTGAGTAGAAGAAAATGAGTCAATGACTATCGGACTGCAGTTTGCCTCCACAAATTGTTGTGAGATTTATGGTCGTTAATGTGTGAAAATGATCTAACTAATGTGTTCTTTAGTCGATGAGTTTCATTCTTGCTTCAAATTGTTAAACTAGGTTGTTTATGTTATATATCTTATTCCGTGAATGATTTTCGCTCTTTGTGTAATTTATGTTATTTATTTTGAGGCTTTATAGTAAATATTGTAATCTGTATGTTTTTTTTTATCGGAGAATTTTTAGTTTGTTCAAGGCAGGCATATTTTTTGGTTTAAGAACTAATACAAGTGAGGAGCAAAGAATGATTGTACCACAAGACTTACAACAATAGCAGATTGGAATCCGCTATATGATTGTCACTCATGAACAAAATCATGTTTGATCATACAATTAAATATTTTCTATTATGTCTTTTTACGCGCTCATCTCCACCAATACTATACAGAGAATGGTTGTCACTCATGACTAAGCCTAATGGTAAGGGATTAGGAAATTAGGGGTTTTGGATTTTTGGGACGAGGGCTTAAGGTTACCGGGCTAAAAAATAAAAATAAAGTTGGGCTTGGACTAAACTATTTCGGAATACCGAAATATCAAAAATTGAATACCGTTTACCGTACCGAATTACCGAAATTATTGTACCGAAATAAATCGAAATACCGAAAAAATTAAAATACCAAATTAATTCGGTTCGGAATTCAATTTTTCGAATTTTATGCTCAGCCTAGCTATAAGGAGCTTCCCGCCCACCCCCTCTTTTCTGTCTCCACTTTCTTTAATCTGTTAGAAAAGTTATATCCCTTCCCTTGGGATTTGGTCTGTCATTTTTTCATTTCCGATTGATGAATATATTGCAGTAGCAGCATGCACATGTTAAAGGGTTTCCCTAAGTTCAGCATTCATACATAGAATCGGTCAAAATCTTGGTCAATTACTCCAAGTGGATAGCTCCAATAAACACAATCAAGCATAAATCCTCCACAATCTTAATTGAAAATGGCAGGTAAAGAACCAGTTATCATCACAGACAAGGAAGAGATGAGAAAATGGACAAGAACCATGAGATCCCAAAACCATACAATTGGCTTTGTCCCCACTATGGGTTACCTCCACGGGGGTCACCTTTCTCTAGTGCAAGAAGCACAAAAACATACTGACCTTATAGTTGTGTCCATTTATGTAAATCCCGGTCAATTTTCACCCAATGAAGATCTTTCAACATACCCTTCTGATTTTCAAGGCGATATTCAGAAACTCAAGTCTGTTGCTAATGGTGTTGATGTTGTATTCCACCCCAAGAATTTGTATGACTATGGGAATTCTGAAATGGGACTAATTAGGTCAGCTGAGAGGATTAATGAAAAAGAGAATGAGGGTTTAAAGGTGGTATCTTGTGTTGAAGATAAAGGGATGGGGCATGAAACTTGGGTTAGAGTTGAAAATTTGGAAAAAGGGTTGTGTGGAAAGAGTAGGCCTGTTTTTTTTAGAGGGGTTGCTACTATTGTCACCAAGTTGTTCAATATTGTTGAGCCTGATGTTGCTGTCCTTGGCAAGAAGGATTACCAACAATGGAGGATTATTCAGAGAATGGTAAGCTTACTAAAAATGAGTTCATCTTGTTTTGTTTAAAAATGTTGGATTGGTTTGTGGATGATCTTAGTTGCGCTCGGTGTTTGCATCAAATTAATGAAATTTAACTCTAAGAAAAGCGCTGCTCACAAATTGAGATAGTACATTATTTAACAGTAGTTAAGTGATCAAATTTTATGCTAAAAGACACATGTTACGCATAATATAGTTTTGGTGAAAACACAAGTGCAGATAAGTTTCTTCCTTGTGTGGATAAAGCAATCCAATATGGCCATATCTGCCCTGCTGAAAGTGAAGCGGCTTATTGGGGAATTGTTTGGTTTCTGTTTCTTTGCTAGTCTTAATCAAGCAGTATACTTTAGAGCTGAAGTCTGATGTGATTTTAAATTGATATTCTCAAAGTAATTCTGTTTCAGGTCCGAGATCTTGATTTTGGGATAAAGGTGATTGGTTCTGACATAGTACGAGAGCATGATGGCCTTGCAATGAGTTCCCGCAATGTGAAACTTTCACCTGAAGACAGACAAAAGGTGCTTCTTCTATTATCAGTATCTCTTAGCATGATGAAGGAACCCGAATTATGGCAAATATTAGCTTATTCAGAATCAAAATGTATGGGACAATGCATATGCAAAAATTAAAGTGATTTCTTGCTAAGGCTCTCTCTTTATTATTGTTTGGCATTTGTGCTAATTGAAACTTTTTGCTCTTTCTACTATTCCACAGGCTTTGTCTATTAGCCGAGCACTGTCTAAAGCCAAAGTTAAGGCAGAAAAGGGACAGGTCAACTGCGGAGAGCTGATAAATTCAGCTATTCAAACCATAGATGAAGCCGGTGGAAGGGTTGATTATGCTGAGGTGAGAACTTAAACAATAATAATATCTTTCATATGGATATAAACAATAGAATACCAACTGGGAACTCAATCACTTTAGGAAGAATGGTATGATCTTGACAATTGTGCTTTCAATGTCCTCTAGCTGTAAGTTATATTTGCCAATCGGAAAATACACGAGTACTATTGACTTGTCAAGACGTATGACCAAGTGGCTTTTTAAGGAGTGAGTATCATAAAGCTCTCTCCAATTACCTTTCCACCACTGAAATTCCAATGACATAAAAGTCATACTACCGTTTCCTTTACTCTCCTCTTAAACTAGTAGATATATAAAGCAATATTTTGTATGGTTAGCGTCTCAGAAGCTTAATTTGTCCGGACAGTATCTGTGCAGTGTTCCATAATGTTTTCACTTAGCAACATAAAAAGGTTGTGAATACAAAAAAAGTTTTTTTCAAATCATTTCTTGGTCTTGTTATCTTGTTTACCTCATTGCTGACACCTTCTCTGCACCAGATTGTGGAGCAAGAAAGTTTAGAGCCGGTGGAAACAATCAAGAGACCAGTTGTATTTTGTGTAGCAGCATGGTTTGGAAAGGTCAGGCTCGTTGACAACATGGAAATAAATATATAAGATGGAGCCACCAAATATATGATAGCCAAATATAGAAGAACTGAGGTGAAGTACAAGTCCCTGGTTTGCAAGAAGCTTTTGCAGTTAGTAAAAGCCATCTGAAAATGACTTTATCAAAGAAAGCCAACTGAAGAAGAAATGGCTAGTCTTTTCATACTGCTCTAGTATTGTTTTGGTTTCTTTTTAATGATGAGAACTTTTCCATTTTTTTAAAAAAAAATTAATGATTAGAACCAGAACCATCCTTTACTGATTCTTCGAGAAGTCTGACCATCCTCCTGACCTCCGCTACAAAATCATTTCTTGGTTCTGACGTTTAACTATCCCATTCTCTCCTTTGCTCTCTTTTTTGAGGAACACGTAAAATAGGACATAAAAATGTTGCATTCGTTACCAGAAAACGCCGGGAGTCCTACTATGCTAAAACTTCTAAAATGAATTGTTAGTTGAAAAAGTCCTTTCCAAAGAAATTTGTTACCACCAATTTTAGAAAACGGTACCCCAAACAAGAAAAAAGGAGACTGGTGTCAATTGTTTGGTACAAGGGGAAAAATACGACAGTTTTCAGAATTAATTTTGTTGTTTGATAGAGACAGAAACCTACTTCCTCTAGTTCGAACATTTTATAACTTGTCCCTTAATTAGCAGTTTGAGCATGGAAATAAGGTTAGGTCTGGAACAGTTTGTCAAATAAAAAGATATATCGCAAGCCAAAATAAACACTCACAACCAGGCAGTGCTCTAGAATACTGTCCGGGCACCTTTCCACAATACAAGATGGTTCATACAAGGGAAAAGGGCTAAATATATCCCTTTACTTTCGGATATTGTCTAAATTTAACCTCCGTTATACTATCTGGCCAAATTTACTCCTACCGTTATGCTATCCAGCCAAATTTATCCCTACCATCAGCAAACTTTTAAAAATTACCCTTCAGTCCGTCAGGTGACCCAGAATCTCCCAAATTATTTTAATTAAGTCACTTATTCTTCTTCTTGATCCACTATTTTCGAAATAATTAGCATTTACCTGCTTTCTTTATTGGAAAGAAAATAAGAGAAGAAATATTAAAATAATACAACGGTAAGTAAACAAAGTATAGTAAATTGAAGAATCTAAATTAGGTAGCTTGTCTAAATTCCAAAAGTATTTACAACATCCCACAAAAATTCGTTGCACCAAATGTATGGAGATTTTGCAAGTATTAGTGATAGAAGTTGAAGTTTCTTGGAGACTTTACATTGTCGAGTTCAACTTTGCTTTAATCAAATGTCTACGCATTGTGCACTCTTAATTTAGTCGATCGAACTCTATACTAATGAGACAATAACAAAATATATTCGAATATACATGTACATACATGATGATCAGCTGTATATAATACACAATAAATAGACCTATTGAATTCTACGGTGTATATGGTTGAAAAATAAATAAAATTTTAAACCAATTCCATACTCATTATCACAAGAAGAGAAGTGGGTGCATTGGTAATTAAAAATGTCCATGAATAATTTGTATAGTCTAGTATCTTTACCATTCACATCAATAGTAATTTCTGAAAATAGTGGAGCAAGAAGAACAAGTGATTTAAATAAAAGGAAATTGGGAGATTTTGGATTACTTAACAGATCAAGGGATAATTTTTAAATGGTTGCTGATAGTAGGGGTAAATTTGGCCGGATAGTATAACGGTAGAAGTAAATTTGACCAGATAATATAACGGAGGTTAAATGTAGAAAACTCCCGAAAGTAGAGGGGTATATTTGACCCTTTTCATTTCAATACAATCATACTCAGTGTCACATGGACGTGGTTTCTATCCGTCGAAACCTGCCTGTGCGGCAACCAAGTCTCATACTTGACTTCAGCCTATCCAACGCTCGGCCAAAATTACAGCAACTTTGGACTTAGAATATTTTCGGGCAGCTTCAACGTAGTAAGCTTTAGAACTGATTTAGGCAACGAATTAAAAGTAAGGCAACGTTAAATTAACAAGAACACAAGGCACAATTTACAGGAAACTCTTTTCCCAACTTTGTATTTATAACTCGAGTATACAAAGAAACTCAACTCTAAGTACTCCGCGTACAAAAGAAGATCACTCTTGACCCTCAGGTTCTCTCAAAGACTACTCTTAGCCTTGGGTGTTTTCACTCTTGAAAACAGACGTAGGAACTCTTTCCTAAGATAAACATACACTCTCACACGTTTTTCTCTCTTTCAAGACCACTCTCAGTCTTGATGCTCTGTTTTAAGACCACTCTCAGTCTTGATGCTCTGTTTCAAGACTTACTCTTAGTCCTGATGCACTTCATCACGAAAATGCCCCATATATATAGATATATGGGCTGGCACTGGCAGATTTGAAGGGGCAACTTACAAAGGGGCAGTCCATTCTAGTGCTTTTCTCAGTCAAAGCACTAAATAAGCACTTAACCATTTAATGGGGCACTCACCCACGAAATAGCCCTCTTCAGCACTTAGCTCTGTTTTGTGGAGCCCTTAGCCCTTTGGTGGATCACTGGCCCCACCATCCACTGAAACAAGCCTGTCACACAGCATTGCTAAATCTGTCCTAACTTGTAATTGACATCCCCCAACTACTTAGGCCTTTACACGAAATAATAGATACAAGCACTACACAGACATGGGTACAAGTTATTACAACAAGGTAAACACCCTCTACTTTGGCATGTGCACTACATGTGCTCTTTTCACTTGGTCAGTTGTTGCACGCCCTAAGGCTGGCATTTCGCCCAGTCTTGGCGCCTTTTGACATTGCTCCGCACCAATGCCTTGTCCGCAACCTGCTGCCCATGATTTTGCCGCACACGCCCGACACTCTTGTCGCACGCACATTGCCTTAGCCGCGTTTTTGCCTTGTCTTTGTCAATACTCGTCTTACCGTGCCATTGCTTGTCTTTGCCTCATATAGCTTTGCCTTAGCTATTGAGACCCCTCGCTATCATTCCGCGCTATCTTGATTTAGCATAGCCTGTACTTGCCGCTACCACAAACCGAATTGCCCGTCCTGACAACACTCTTGTTGCCAACTCAATCCCAAAGCGGCGGAGGGCTAACACTCAGGGATAGAGGAATAAGCCCACAGGAGATTGCTATCTCAATCAAAAGTTCAAAACAAGCCAGAAATATCAATAGAAGGCTTTCGAATTCTCAACACTCGACAGAAGCATATTTACGGCCACACAAAAACCAACAAAATATAGAAGAAACATGATGAAATCACACAGAGTGAATTTATCACAAGCGGACCTCGCATAATCCTTTAAAATTTAAGTGGACCATTAACCTTCCCTGCAAAACAGCTTTTAAAAGTCCAATCATAGCACAAGATTTAAACTAGTTCACATATAAGGAGCGCAAGAAAAAATGATAGCATAATAATGAAGCCGTTCAAATAGAGAGGAAAAGAAAGACGCAGTACACATTATTTCTCCTCTGGTTCCTTTGTTTCAGAGTCTTTTCCATCCAATTCAGAACCAACAAAATCAAGAATCACTATGTGACCTGGTGAACGAGGAAGACTCATTCAATAGTATACTCAAAAGAATTCAGCATTACAAGCTATACAGGCAGTGTCTCATGATACAGAGCATAGAACAAAAGATGTCACAACAAAAGAAAAAAAGAATTATAAGGAACTGACATGCCACTGCTACAAAGATTAAGTGTCACAATTTTCAATCAACATCCAGCCTAGTAAGGATGAGGAACCACACTAATGACAATTGAAACCACCACATACTGACAAAACTATGATCAGAATCAAGGCGATAATAATTCCCAAGACTATAAGCTTGATCTTCATGTTCTGCAACCACATCTTCCTCCTCATTGTTGTTCCTTGTGTCCTGAAATCTTGTGCCTGCAACAAGACAAAAATTTCACTTGAATATTTCATGCTCAGATGGAACAAAAAAAGAAAAACAATAACACCAGTGCAAGTTCAGAAAGAAGGTAAAGGAAAAAAGAAACAATTAGGTGTAATGATGTAACAACAGCTCACAGGGTCTAGCCCACTGCAGCAAATAAACCATTACCAAGTTGCCTATAAAGTTAAGGGAAGGAGACCACTAGCCGTTGACCTAATGGATTGCACAGAAAGCATAGTTTAACTAAGCGATCCTCAAAACATAAAATGTAAAACAACATAGCCAAATGATTGCCCGACTGTAGTTGCCAGGCTACTATTTGCTATTAATGGCCTGAGCCTAACCACTAGAATTTTCTTTTTCTTTTTTTCTTGTTAATGTTATTTACCACTAGAAATTTCTTGCAACAGAAAATATGCAGCTAAATCATTAGCATATCCTTCAAATTCTAAGGAAGTAAATATATTCAAACAACTTTGAATTTGCTGAAACTAGTAGGCCATAGCATCTTGTCATGTGCTATCAATCAAACGAGGCAAAAAAGTTGATTTTTCTTATGACTATAGCTTCTATTCATATATAACTGTGAGATTCATCCATCTACAGCTGAAGACTCAAATATTTCAGTAACGGGACATTGTATGGTCATTTACATACCTGTGAGCGAAGATTCTCAGTCTTATCCACCAAAAGTTCAATCTTCTCACCACGATCAAGAACCTACAAGGACAAAGTTTCATCAGAAAACCAAATAAACTTACGGGTTCTAAATCTTCCAGGACCACGACAGAGATATGTCCTCTAAAACAGTATAATCCAATATGGAAGTCAATCTTCTCTACCTTTTCAATGTTTTCCATCATCACACCTTTAACTTCCGAAACCTGAGCCTTCACCTTTGCAAGCTTACTGATTTCCTCTGGATGGTCTACACAGTACTGCATTTGTTCCTTCAGTTTGGGCCTGTAAATTATTGTTTTGAATGAAAGTGTGTATCACTTTCAACTGCTGTTTATTAACATCAATAATAAAGGAGAAGGGAAAAGAGTCTGAAAAGAAAATGCAATTTACCCAAACTCCCTGTTTAAGCTGTTAGCAACAGCTGTAGCAGCCTTGCC